TGCTAGCATTAATATGCAAATAAAAAATTCACAAGGTAGGTATTTTTAATCAGTATAATTTATATTGCTCAATTTTTTATGGCAGATCATTCATCATCAATAAACAGTACTTTGGAGTTTCAGAGTAGCATTGATAGTTATACCATTATATTTAATGCTACACAGCTTGCAACTGAGCTCAACTTGATAAATCCGACTAATATTACTGCTCTCTTGCTTCCTTTTGATGATGATGATCTCCTTGTCTCCATCTCTCCTGCTACATTAAACATTACAATGTCAAGTGAATCTCCAATACCTTCTTTAGCTAGCAATACCGGTACATATTCTCAGTCCAGTATGTATTCTCAGTCTGGTATGTACTCTCAGTCCAGTACATATTCTCAGTCCAGTACGTATTCTCAGTCCAGTACATATTCTCAGTCCAGTACATATTCTCAGTCCAGTACGTATTCTCAGTCCAGTACGTATTCTCAGTCCAGTACGTATTCTCAGTCCGGTACATATTCTCAGTATTCTGATGCAGCCACTAATTACTGTACTCCATCAGTATCTATTACAACCACCACAAGTACATTATTTTTAACTGTTCAACAGCCAGCAAGTACAGTATATGTGACTGTTCAACCCACAAGAAGCATTACTGGTAGTACAGTGTATGTGACAGTTCAACCGACTGATGCAGTATCTACACAAGCTAGCAGTGACAGTATCAATAGTTCTATCATTGGTGGACTCTTTGTTGTTATTGTAATTGTTATTACTATTATCAGCATCATTGCTGCAATTATTATGTACAGGTGTGGCAAGAAAACTGGTCAAATGGAGAGCATTCAAATCACTTCTACTACCACAGAAATGAAGAGGGTTCCATACGGCATTACTAATCCAGCTGCTATTGATTCACAAACTTCAGAGAGTCCTCAAGAAATGTATACTGAAATGGCATCAGTTAATCCTCCTCCTCCTTCAATGAAGTCCAACACTATTTCGTACTCGCACTTAAATCAATATCGTAATGTTGCCACTAGCAATCCTCACCCCAGGACATACAGTATGATAAATACTGCTACAATGGATAGACCAACCGCATATGCTAATGTTACTAGTCCTCTTCCACCTCCTCCACAAATAGTAGGAGATTTACCTGATCCTTTAAATGAAGAAGAAGAAATATATGAAGACATGACAGCAACTGCACTGTAAACATTTATTTTTATTGCTACTATCAGACATTTAGTTTTGCTTTCTAAAA